TTATATATATATATATATATATATATATATATATATATATATATATATATATATATATATATATAAATACGATACCTAAGACGAATTATAAATTAAACAAATTAAAAACTCATAAACTTTAACGTTATCTTCGCCTCTAATTATATTTTCTTCTCTAAGTATGTACTACTTAATACTATGGACTAAAGCTACAAACAAAGTTCTCGGGTTCGAGCTCTGGGTATGAAGTCGTCATTTTTAGGGAGCGTTTTACCACAATGTGAACTTTCGGGCCCCAACTTAGATACTTGAAACCGGGTGAGAAACAAACCAAAAAAGAAATGGACGAAGGCTGTGATAAATTGACCTACATAAAAATTGACGCGTAAACTTCATGTATTTAAAAGACGATTGCTTGTGTCCCTCATTTTTCTCTGTAAAAGATGGTACCTAAATTTTGAAAGTGATTCCTATGGCTCTAATCTTTAGGAAACAAAGAATATAGGCGGAGTACATTTTCCTTAAATTTGTCCGACTTTTTTATTAGATAAATTAGATAAGTCATAAATGTTATACTAACATGTACCGGGCGTTTAATAATATTATTATTGACACTTTAAAAAATGGAAACTTGATCAGAAAAACAAAGAAAGTACAAGAGAAAAATGAAAATTAATTAAAGAGGAGTGGATTGTCTTCGAAACTCAGACTTTTTAACCCGTGCATTTGTCTGTGTTGGTGAGATTGCGTGTTTGAAAGAAGAAGGTGATGGACTCTGAATAAACTTCAGTGTCCTTTTGTTTTATATAATATTCCACTAGCAAATCATTATCTTCTTCAGTATTTTCTTTTCATTTAATTTCAATCTGATTATATAATAATAATAATAATAATAATAATTTAATTGATTGACGCTGCAATTTTTTTTAATAATTGTATAAATTAATATATTGTAGAAAAATATTATTTTATTTTAATAAAAATATTCAATTAACTTTTATTTAGACTAATCAGACCATAAACGAAAATCTGACATAGGGGTTAAAAAAAATTCTATCACTTGATCAGGTCCCTCTAATTTAGTGATAATTCAATGAACTTTGACTCTAATATCAGAAATATAAAATCATCACTTTGGTGGTTAGTTGAGCCTACCAAAATACTTTTATTTGTACATTGCTATGTCGGGGCAGGTTTGCCGTTCTCTTTTCGACCAAAGAATAAAGAAAATAGAAATGCGAACTGCACAGAATATATAAACATTAAATGAAACTCATTAATTTTGAAATCTTTCAGCAATATAATTCACTTTTTGTACTACTGCCCTAAATAAATAAAATGCACACGAATTTTCAATTTTCTTGTTTTAACTTATTATTGTTTTGAGGTCGTACACTAGAATCATAGGGTAAAATTAAAACAAAATAATAATAATATGTTGACGATATAATATCATTGTTTTAAAAGATCCTTGTAATATAGGGGAAGTTTTTACTTTTTCTCCCTTATGATTCAAATATTATTTCAGCACTAAGTTTGTTTATGAAGAGCTTCATGCACGTGAAATTGGTGATTTTTCTTTTACTAATTACACCGAAAAGTTGATTTGCTTTTCACTGTTAATTAAATGGTTTATTAATACTACATAATTGCTTCCGCGATACGTGCTAGATTCTCTCCTTTTACAAAAAAATAAAAAAATAAAATAAATATTACAGATTTATGCTTTTATAATAGGGTGTTAATGTCATTAAGATTCACATGAGTTGCATGCGTGAGGGGATCTTTGGTCAAATCTAGTCTTTAAGAGAGTAGTTTTACATTAATAATAAATATAACTATCACGAGTGGCATAATGAGCCACATAAAGACTATGTTGCTTATATTTCATGCATTTGCTTTGCTATCCATAAATACAGTCTTTCAACCTCTCATCACTTTTCAATTTTTTTAATTTATACCTATTGATTGATAGTGTAAAAAATCTTATACTATGAAGTTAAACTTATATATTGTGACATTTATATTGTAACATGTCATTTATCATGTTTACATGTCATAATGCGTGTTTTTTATTTGAAAGTTATAACTTGACCCGATAATGTAAAATAAAATAAAATCAATGTAAGCGTATATTAGCTAAACTCTTCTTCTAAATGAATTTAGGTTATACATACGGATAATGTAAGAAAATTTAACACTATGAATACATAACTTAACATGTGATAGTAAGTAATTAGTATCATGTTATTGTTATACTGTTTAAGCAAAAAAAAAAAAGCTTAGAACTCTTTAAAAATAATTAGATAAAACGCTCAGCACCTTTAGCCCAGTCTCACAATTATTTCTTCACTTTAATTTTCTAGTTTCCCTTAAGATAGCCAATTGCTTCCTCTAAATAACAAACAACAACAATAATATATCTAGCGCAATATCACAAATAGAATTTGGGAAGGATAGTAAGTACGAAGCCCTTAACCTTACTTTATGCAGGTAAAAAAGACTATTTTCGATAGATACTCGGCTAAAAAAAACATATAGAAGTGCTTCCTCTAAGCAAATGAACTTAAAACCCAAAAAAAAACAAAAAAGCTAAAAGTAACCATCTAGAAAATTTTATACACCGTTACAATTATAATTAATGTGTATTTCACAAATATATTATGGTTGTGAGTTGCTTTGCTTTTGAAACTCACCTCAAAGTAAAAGTCATACGTAAAGAATTGAAGGGTGCAATTTTGAGACAAAGAGAAATGTCCACCGATCACCTCTTGCTTGCCCTAATCTAGCAGTTTAGATCTATGTGCTTCTTTCACCAAAATTCATCTAATTATATGTTCAAAGAATTTTTCTTTCCAACCAAAAGATGTTTTTTTTTAAAAAGAAAAGGAGAGGGAGGAGATTGCTTGTAACACAGTTTATTTCTGTAAAATTAATTTGAAGGATAATTTATTTTCTTTTTTATTCATTCAAAGAACTCTTTATTGGATTCTCTATTATATCTCTCTCTTCCCTTCCTTTATCCTCCTCACTCTCTGACACACTGCACTCTCTATATGGCGTAAGTTTGGTGCCTGATAGTGCAAGCTAAGCAAGCACCCCACTTTTATTTTTGCCCTTTTTTCATTTTCCAGAATTAATTTATCTCCACTGTGTCTAACCAAAAATAAAATAAAATAAAATTTAGACTTCATTGTATTCTCCTCTGTTGGCAAAAAATAAAATAAAAAATCTATTTTCCATCCGATATTTGGTAGTCCGACTAATTCAAATTCATGCATTAAATTTGAAGTATGAGGTAAAACACTTTCTACCAAATGTGACTTTGTTTTCCGAGCTTGAATATGAGACGTCTAGTTAACGATGAAGAGATACTTACTAACTCCACCACAACCTTTGAAAGTATATTAAAACAATGACTTAAGTTATATATACTGAAAGTATAAATTCTTTTTATATAATATATCGATTAAAAATAATTTAATTTATTACAACAAATTATTAATTATTTTTTTTATAAATTGTTATTGATTAATATTCATCATAGAAATTTACTTGAAATTACTAGCTTGTGAAAATAAAAACTTAAAACTTGTTATACACAATTAAATTTGGTTATTCCATTTTATTTATCTTGTCTCTCTCCTCTCTTTTTGAGTCCTCACTACTTCTATAAGCTTGTGTTTAGTGCTTCACTAGCAAAACACTCTTTCCCTTTGTCTCTTCATCCCATTCCTTTCTTTTTGTCTATCTCTTCTTCTTCTTCATCACCTCTTAGTACAATAATATATTATTCCAAATTAACTCCATAATTCCCAGACAAAAGAAAAGAAGAGAAATTATCCAATGTTGATCATTTTGCAGTTTTATCTTTTGCTTTGGAAGCTGCTGTCTTAAATTCAAAAGCTAAAGAATCTCAATTTTGGTAATCTTCTTAAAATTTCCATCTTCACTCTTCTTCTCTATACAATCTTTTTTTACTTAGAAAAAAAAGAACATTACTGAATTGCTAGTATAGTAACTAGCTAGCTTTATTTTCATGCCATATTGACTTCCATTTTCCTTCTTCATTTGCAGTTCTAATTGTTTTCAACTATTATTGTCTTTTTCAAGAGAACAGTTTTGGAAGTGTTTGACCTTTTTCTCTCTTTCTTCTTCACTTTCAAGAATACACTTCATCTCTCTTTTCTTCTTTTCCAAAGTTAAAGACTATTTTTAGTTGAAGAAATTAACTACATTTAAGAAACTAAAAATTAACATGATCCTACTACTCCAAAAAACTTTCTTTATTCTGCATTTCCATAATAAAATGGAGAAAAATTAATTCAGTTGATGATGCATGCAAAAAGAAGAAGGGGATAATGGAGTTAATAATGCATTATTTCCTAGTTGTGTAGCTTCTTGTTTCAAAAAGTGTGTCCAATTCACAATTGTGAAGATCTCCTAGGTTTGTGTTATTTTTTTTAATATTTTTTTTCTAACTATTCTTTAGCCTCAACTTTCAATTTAATCATTTTCTAGCTAGCTTCTAATTAATATAAGTTCCTATCCTGTCCTTTACCCTTTTGGTCTACACAAAAATATTAAAAACAAGGAGTTAGTGGAATTAAAGGTATTTTGAAAGAGGTTAGAAATGGAAATTCCAAGTCAAGAAGAGGAAATGCCAATGCCAATGCCAATTAACAGCACATATGTTGGAGGAGGAGAAAGACATGGTCATGGCCACATAATACATCATGATCCTACAACAGTACCCAACAATACTAATCACATTATACCTTCTTCTGTTGCAAATTCCATCAATGGCCCTCCCATTGAAGCAACACCAGTATCAGCAGATCATCATGTGCCTTACAAGAAGATTGTCAGGTATTGTCGAACTGTGACACCATCTCATTTAAAAGTTTAAACGGAGAACACGTACTTCTAATTAAATTATCTCAACATGCCTCTTTACTTGTGGGACTTTTACATGTGAGACTCAGTATTCTATACTGCTATGATATTATGTTGAATTGTGTGATCATCTTTTTTAAATGCTTAAAAAAAGGCAATCTGGTGCACCAAGCTCCCGCTATGCGCGGGGTTCGGGGAAGTGCCGGACCACAAAGTCTATTGTACGCATCCTTACGCTGCATTTCTTCCAGAGACTACTTCCACATTTACCTCCTGATCACTTGGCAGCAACTTTACTAGTTACGCCAATACTCCCACTCGTTTAAATGCTTAAAATATACTTTAAAAAAAAGAGTAATTCGGTGCACTATGAAGGCCGAACTACAAGGATCTACAATACGCAGTCTTATCTTGCATTTCTGCAAGAGGCTGTTTCCACGCCTCTTATGACCTTCTGGTCACATGGCAATAACTTTATCACTTATGCTAAGGTGCCCATTCAAAGAGCATAATTTAATTATATTATGTGTTTCCATAGGTACAAAGAATGCCTCAAGAACCATGCAGCAGCAATGGGTGGAAATGCAACTGATGGATGTGGTGAGTTTATGCCAAGTGGTGAAGAAGGTACAATTGAAGCACTCATTTGTTCAGCTTGCAATTGTCATAGAAATTTCCACAGAAAAGAAATAGAAGGTGAACAGCAACTTCTTCAACTACCACCACCTTCCTCTTGTGACTACTATAATCTCAACAGGGGAGGAAAAAAAGTTTATTTAGGACACTCACACAACCATCACAAAAGCCTTTTGGGACCTGAACAATATGGAACTGTAATCCCTTCTAGAGCAACAGCACCACATCATCATCAGATGATAATGTCATATAATAATATGGGGTCACTTCCTTCTGAGTCAGAAGAGCATGAAGATATTAATGGTGGTGGGGTTATGACTATGGCTATGGCTAGGCCATTACATCATCATAATCAAATGGTCAAGAAAAGGTTTAGAACAAAGTTTACTCAAGAACAGAAGGAGAAAATGTTCAATTTTGCTGAGAAAGTTGGCTGGAAAATACAAAAACAAGAGGAAACTGTGGTGCAACAATTCTGTCAAGAACTTGGAATTAAAAGAAGAGTACTTAAAGTTTGGATGCACAACAATAAGCACAATCTTGCCAAGAAAAACTCCAGCATTACCATTCCTCAAAATCAAGTTTAATTATCCATTTTTTTTTTTTTGATGTAACTCTTTTATGTTTGAATTTTATATTTATGGGGTATGGTCATTTCTAGAATTAGCATAATATTTAAAATAATACTTACTTTGGTATGTAATATAGTACTACTACTAGCTAGTGCATGTGGTAATTGGACTGGTGTATCTTCTACTTATTGGTTGGATTTTGTTTCACTAAATAATATCTCCAGTGCAGACTGGATTTATTTATATTTATTTATACATCCTTATAATGGATTTCTTGGGATGACTATTTTAATAATCAGTGCAGTTTTTGAGTCAATTTTATAGTATTGCATTTGGCCTCAAACACTAGAATATAGCAAAGGTCTTACATTAATTTGAGTAGGAAAAACATATGTTCGTACGGAGGGTACTTGTGTGAGCTTCCAAAGCAAAACAGCAATCCCTAAGAAAAAGGAATTAATCGGACCCCAAAAAAGTAAAAGGAAAAAAAAGAAAAAGAAATTGAACTTAAAATTATTCGTAAGATCTTTGAGAAAAAAATCAGAAGTAGTCAAATTTACAAGATAGTTGAAAAATAGTCACAGTTTCAAAGTAATCGAAATTTAGCCACTTTTTCATGTAAAGATAAAATCTGAACAAAACCCCTTAAAAAACCGAAAAAATTTCAGCATAATATGCTGGAGTTCTAATATTTTACATATGAGATTATAGTATAATGTGCTGGAATTTCATAATGTGCAGGAGTTCCAACTTAATATGCTGGAAGTTTATACGGATGAGCTCCATAATCCAGCATATTATGCTGGGACTTTTCGTGTGCTGCAAGTTTATACATAGGAGCACCATAGTCCAGTATATTATGCTAGAACTATCCGTGTTTCAGCAAAATAATGACTATTTTTCAGTGATTTTGCAAATACTGGCTATTTTTCAATCATCAATCCGAAAACTTGCTAGCCTGTGCTATTTTTACTAAGATCTTTTAATCCCCCAACCCTCAAACCAATGTAGGGATAAATTGGGAGCTTCACAAAATGATTTTCTTCTTAAACAAATTTAAACAACTTTCTTCAAAATTATAGTTGTGCGCGTTCTTCTTCAAAAGTAGTTCTCCGAAAAGTAGACCAAATCAAAAGTCCAATTTGAGACAAAATGTTTAATATGATACTCTAAATATCTTATTTTTAATCCAGTGAACTAAATACCTACCAATAAAAGTAGATTCACTAAATAATCTCATCATTGTTTAATCTCTATATTATAATCCTCGCATTAAGAAGTGGCCTACAAATGAACCTGGCTAACGGATTTGCTGTTATTTCTGCATTAAAACAGATGCAGTAATGAAAACAACTAATACAACGAGCGCAGAATTGTTACTTCCCAGAGTGCTGAAATATATTGAAGTATTGAACTCTCTACCAATTGTTCTCTTTTAATTTTGGTTTTGTTGACGTGCGTGGTTTTGATTTTCATGATTGGCAAAGGAAGACATGCATGAACCTGGTCTATGGAGACTGTACACAAGTTACGGTCAGAATCAAACAAAAAATATGCACGTGCAAGAGATTGTCACACCCCTTTTCTACTCCCCGAAAAATATGTATGTGTATGGATATTATGGTGGGTTAAAGAGTTTTTCCAATTGAAGTGACAAATTTGAGTAGGGATTATTTTATTTGTAGAGTCGCCTCTTGGAATTGGTTTTTGGTGTTCCAAGTCACCTTTTATTTGAATCCCTAGTCAAAGAAAAGTTTGACTCTATTTTTATCGGTCCGCGAAAACAAAGTTCGGGTAAGGAATTCTGTTGACCGGGGAGAAGGTATTAGGCATTCCCCGAGTCCCGTGGTTCTAGCACGATCGCTTTATTGACTTAAAACTTGGCTTGAGCTAATTTTGGACAAACTGTGATTTATATGTATTTTCATGTTTTACCTATCCGCTTTTAATTATTAAAGTTGTTAAAAAAAAGTATGATATAAATAGTATAAAATTGTCCTAACCGCGCTACGAAAGCGAATATGCGACCAAAACGAATTTTATTAATTTTGTCGTAACAGCGCTACGCAAGCGAATCCGCAGTTATGACAAAGGATTATTATCACGCTATTATTTTCAGAAAAAATTACTGTATTTGTGCTTTTGAGAAAATTATTTATTAAAAGGTTACTATCGCTATTAAAAAGTTACTATCGCGCTACGAGAGCGAATCCGCGAGTATGGTGAAAGGATTAGAAATTTAAACCCAACAGTTGAGTAAAGAGAACGGGCCAACAACTTATTGAAAGAAAGTATGGGCCACTAGCTTATTTATTGGCATTGGGCCAATATGCATCTTTATTAAACCCGACCCAATACATTATGATTCAAGACCAACCCCATGTATACCGAAGATCTAACGTGGCCCCCTTTTTTATTAAATCTAATTTCATTTGTGCACACTATTCCCTTGGCCCAATTCACTCAACAAGAGTAATCAGTAGCCTCTTAATTTTCTTTAACTAAATTTACTCACATTCCATATGTCAAAATTAAATCCAAGACATTCACCTTGATAAAATAGCTATCTTCTATCATTCAAATACTAATAAACACTCTAAATTAATAACATGCTAGTCATGGAAGATTCACAAAAAAAGAAAACTCATTTTTTCCTTACTTAACAATTATAAAGTAGATTGATGGAAACTTCTAAATGCTGACTTTTGCTTAAACTGGCACAACAGAAAGAAATAGCCGAAGGGATTATCTCCTTTAATAAAATAGCTTCATAATTCAAATGAGACTTTATCAATGTGAAAGGGATATAATGATAGCAAAGACTCAAACAACCTACCAGTATATTGGAACTCCAAAATTTAAAAGAAACAAGAAAAAATATTCACATCCAATCCATTGTGGTAAGCCTATGGTAGCTTATCTTTCCAATAACTAAATAAAACTATAAAGTGGTGTTTCAGCTAACATGTAAGGAGCAATTTCAAGCTAGCAGTTATACATTCACATGGTTGCGTCATGCATACTACCTTAAAACACTTAAACAAATGGCCAAATGAATTCAGCTCTGCTCCAACAGTCAAAACAGGTTCCAATATTGGTTTATTGCTATGAAAATCTGCATTACAAAGGTTCAAAAGTTACCTGAAGAGCGGAAATATGATGCAAAAGTGAAAAGCGAGCAGAAACAACAGCAGGACAGCAAGGAAACAGCACTAAGATGGACGTTTGAACAGCCCGAAAATCTTAGAGTAGAAGCCCAGAACAAGTTCTAAAAGACTTTATCTTTTGAAAGAGTTTTCACTCTAAGAAACCTTCACCAAACTCACAATTTCAGCTTACTATTATATATATTTAGCTGCTGATTTTTCTCTCAACTTTTTGTGTATTCAAACAACTATTAAAGATGTTATCTAAATGTGTTCCCCCCCTATAATGAAGAAAGGGCAGCCCTTAAATAGGCAAAGAAAAGCCAACTTTTTGGACAGATTTTGGTTCAACAAAAATCTCTCCAAAAGAGGCTAAATTTGTGTGCTAAAGGCTGTCCAAAAGGTGAAAGGACAGCCTGAAATCTGCTATGGCAGGAGCCAAAAGGTCATTTCAGCCACCCTACTAATCAAAAGTAAGCTACCACTACCCTAAGTCATGATCAAACCCATAACAATTTCAGATTTTAACAACATCAATACCACCCTATTGATTTTGAACCAAAACAAATCACACAACTAACGATTGACGAAACAGAAAAAACTTAAACTAATTAGATTAAACAAATTGATTTGTACAAACTAAACATAGAACAAACAACTGAATTCACAAACTAATGCTCGAAACAGATTTTAAACGAGAACTGTTAATTATTCGTCAACGACTAACAACAACTAAATAAACGACTATTAATAGCCGCTAATCAGAACCTAACTGTATGGAAACAACTGATTCATCTTGCGATCACAGAACGATTCATGGCTGAATCAAAATAGAAAATCAAGCAACTATGCAAAAAATGAACTTGATCTATCAAATCGACAAGGATCAAAACGGGCAATTCATTATCGACAAGAAACATACGATTCAAACTGAATCTAAACCCAATTACAGAAGCAAAAATTAGAAAAATAAAAGGGGAGCTAGGATTTTACCGTATACTCGAGTATCCGGGCAATGGCGATAGGCAGTGGTACGACTCGAGCGAGTGTCCAATGTCGATTATTATCGAAACCATGACTCCGGAGAATTGGATGCTAGTTTCGATAAAAATCGACAACAGAAACTCGCTTGAGGCCGAGGTGGAGAGAGAAACGGGAGGCAGTGGCAGTTGAGGGGTGGCTGTGACGGCGGCGGATCGGCAGTGGGGGTCGCCGGAATTTCGGGTTAAAACCAATGCCAAATTGTAGCCCTTGATGAGATCTATCTATGTATGTAAAAATTAAGTGGAGAAAAGGGCTCAATATTCTCGAATTTATCCAAAAAGTTGCGGCTAGGGTTTCGTTCTTTTGAAGATTTGTGGCGTTTGAGAAGGATTCGAGGGATTTGGGGCTTGGATATGGGAAGAGGAGGAAGAGACGAAGAGGGGGTGAAATTTTGGTGGCGTTTGGAGCTTGGCCGCCGCCGGTGGGCGATTCCCGGCGGCGGCTCTAGGCGGCGCTGGGCGGCGGAGAGGAAGAAGAGAGAAGAAGAGGTTTAGGGCTTGGTCATGTATGGAAAATGAGGCCAAAAAATCAGATTTTCTAAAATTATATACTTCTAATGACATCAATTTTGGACCATTGGATCAAAGAAAATAGGTGGCCAGGATTTGATCTTGATTACTTAACCAAAATGACGTAGTTTCAATCTAAAACTACGTCTTTTAGACTATCTCCTGGGACGGATCAGTAGACTCTTTGGGCTCCTAATTTTGGGCCAATTTTGGTTCAATTTTAGTCAAAATACACTAATCCAATCCTTTAACCCCCATATCAAATTATTTAACATAATCTAATTTAAAAGCCTAAAAATACACACATAAGAATTCTAGAAATTATAATGTAATGAAAGAAAGAAAAAAAAAATATATACATGAGCAAAAATTAGGCATTTACAAGATGAAGATGCAGAACATGAATAGATATAGGGGAAAGGAATTCTACTTACGATTAAAATTCCACTTCTCCGGGAACGGCATTTTGTCCCTAGGAATAACGTCCGAAGTTCTTACTTTGACGAACCGACTTATCCAACCCCGATCTTTGGTCTCGTCGGTGCTGGCGAAGATG